ACTAACTCACCCTCTTGCTAGCCATTTGTACTTTGAGTAAATATGTATGTATGATGAAACAAACATCAGCTTCCTTAGCATTGATCTACAGATACTATTAAAGTAGCAAAAGATTAGGTAAATTTATGATCACATGAGATGTACTCTCATGACATACTCAGTGAATAAGGTATTTTTGTGTTGCTGTATTTTTTTGGAATTATGTTTTGTTTTTTGGTTCTTTTTCCTTATTTCATTATTAATCTTGTTTTGGTAAGTGTTGAATTAATTTCTAAGTGTTGTTATAGTTCAATAAATAGCTTTTTTTTTATAGCCCTGATTGTACTGGCATGTATATTTTAGAGATTAATTTATCCAAATGCACAGAAATATGAAATTTAGGATAAAGGAACATAAAAATGTGGTAAAAAAATATAAAGTAAATGAGTTAGCCTCAGAATGACATGTGGCAAGCATTTCTCATGTTATAGACTGGGATGATGTTAAATTAATTAATCAGGTGGAGATGAAGAATAAACTAATTATCAGATGAACAAGAGAAATAGAAAAAAACATTGTGCCAAATAAAGAGATTGGTTCAATTAAAAAAAAACAAAGTACTGAACATATGTCTTATAAACTCTGGGTGTCTGAGCCTAGGTGGTTCCAAAAATATGCAAATTATTGTGTAGTTTTATAAGTCTTGATCAAACTTTAACTTTTACTTCTGAAGATTGTGGCAAAACAATCTTTCTAGTGCTGGTCCCTGTTTTTAATAAATTATTTATTGTACAATAATTTTAACATTGTATTCCTTTTAATTGTGTGTGTGTGTGTGTATGTACATGTATGCAAAAGTGCCATTTTAATATATTCAAAAAGTTGCCTATACCCATGATGCAAATTACAATTATAATTTTTCATAGATTTTCCAGGTATGGGCACTGAACTTACAAATTTCTATGTTTTCCAGGACCCATACAAATCATGTTCATAGCAAATGATAGTTTTAATTAAAGCGAAAACAATTCACTAAATAAAAGATCACATACCATGAACAATAATTACAGGAAACATTACATGAACATCTCTTATAGATTATGCATATGTTCATATTTACCTATATGTATACAGAGTACCTCAATCAGGTAAAACAAACAAAGAATATAAAATAGCTCACCACTCCATTTATAGACAGCAGCTGGTCTCCACGTTTCAAACCCCCATGCCTGTCTGCTATACCCCCAGGAATAATGCGAGAGATGTAAATTGGTGAGTTTTGCTCTCGACCTCCCATGACATTGAATCCCAATCCTTCATCAGTTTTAGGGAGCTCCACAACACGTGGATGTGCATGGCCTTCACTGGCAGCAAAAGCTGCAACTGTTGCCTGATTAGTTGAGACAAAATTTTTTTCATTGAAAAACAAAAGTTGCTATACTTAAAAATAATACATGGAAATCTTATGTTTTATATTAAAGTTGATAATACTTTTATTCCTTATGGGTTCCTTTACAAACCAAAGAATATCCCATGGACAACCATACTCAGATAGGTCTATCTGGGGAAAATGATATTACAGTGCATAAAAGAGTCATTGACACAAGTAATTACCAAGCTAAAATTTCAAATAAATAATTCTTCCAACCTAATAAAGTGTACTATTAATTATATTTTTTGTTTTTAAATTATAATATGGAAACTCAATATTTACTACTGCAGAACTTTTCTGAATGTTCACAGAACACTAAAGTTTCTCAGACCACAGACTGAGAACCACAGCCTTATGCCACCCCTAACACAGTCAACTATTTAATAATAGAAAGAACCAATAGCAAAAATGCCATGAACTGAAAAACAACAACAAAGATTTACATTTTACAAGAGATGAAATATGTTGAAAAATGTATTTCTTCTATATAATGATTACACACTGATTAAAAAAAAAGTTTTATATATCCAAAATTTACCCATATTTATTATTGAACATTAGCTTAATCTATAATTTAATATAATCAATGAACTTTGTTTGTTTTGAATTTCGTGCAAAGATACACGAGGGTTATCTGTGCTAGCAATCCCTAATTTAGCAGTGTAAGACTAAAGGAAAGGCAGCTAGTCATAACTCAGCTAACTCACTATATAATTTCACAAGATCATACCTCTATTTGGTCTTATAAATTAAATGTTCACATGATCTATGCTGATACCTAGTTACAAAGTCAATGCTGCAAACTAGAATTTTACATAAAAGCTATATACTTACACATTTTCCAAATAATCTGACAGAACACAAGTTACACTTACACCTTTCTTCAGTCCTTCTCTTTGAGGTACAACATTTCAAAATCATGAACAGGGTTTAAGCCATGGTTAACAAAGAAGATTAAATAAAACTATATTACTTAAATTAAGACAGCAGTGAGCAAAAAACTGGAAACCAAAATTAAGCATTCTTGATCCAACTGATCAATGCTTGATATACTAATTTTCTGCTTCTAGTATATACTATAACATATAAATATACATAGGTGTTTTTCTTTTTTAACATACAAGTTTTAGATTGCATTATGCCATAGTAAATCTCTAACAGAGTAAATTGATACTTAAGCCTAACTGTTTTGCAGCAATTTTATGAAACTACAGAGTACATTTTCATGTATAACACTTTGGAAAAAGAATTGAGATTTGCGATCCTGTTGAAGGAGTTTTATGCTAAAATTAGATGCAAAATATATAGGTACAACACTGTGCTGAGAATCTCAAATAATTTGGTTAATTTAGTATGCATCAAAGTTTTATCACTTATCAGTAACATGGTAGAACTGTACATGTGTATGGATTAAACAACTTTACGATTCAGATTTCCATAAACAAAAGTTTACTTGGACATGTAAAAATATACTTGTTTTTATTTACAGTTTTTACCACTTCATGAATTTTTTTCTTTATCCTAATTATTATAACGAAAGATGAACTTGGAATATTTGATGATAATAAAATTAAATATAATGTAAATATTTGTTAAATTACTACTCACTTCACAATAAGAAAGTAAAAATATTCTACATATTGGTAGTAGTTAAGATTACTTGACCAGGGATTTGACAATCGTTACTGTGGTACATTTTATTCTTAACTCTGCATATCATGCATTAAACATTGTTACTCCGTTATTCCTAATGCTATATTTACCTTGGCTGTTGCACTAGCTCTAATGTCAGGACTTCCAGAGATATCCACAGTTTCATACACATGTTCATAAACTTCCCTTACAGCATTACAAAACTCACTTTGTAAGACTTTCTGCAAGGCTGCCAACTTTTGATTAGGGACCTCTCCACCTGGATTGCAGTGAAACTTTGGTTACCTAGTCCATTTAACTCGGCACATTTTTGCTAAAGGTGAAATTCTAGATTTACCATGAAACGTAAGTTATTGAAATAAAATTAATTGTACTGGATATTTCCACAGTTTTTTAAATAAAGAAAGTGCTTAAGATGCAAATGTTAAACACAGGCATCTCTGAAGGAAAGCTTATGGAGAGATAAAATTAAGATGAGTACACCTGAAACATCATCAATATACTACTAATAGTACAAAATGACACCATCACCAGAATCAAAGAAACAAAAATGGTAAAAAAAGTACACTTTTCAGGGATTAGTTAATGAAAACACTTTGTTATTCTTATCAAAATTCTATGACTAAAATAATGTTAATAGTACAAAGAGACACCATCACCAGAATCAAAGAAACAAAAATGATGATAAGGTACACCTTTCAAAGATTGCTTTAAATAAAACACTTTGTTCTTCTTATGTTCAATATTCCTAAAATATTCAAAGGCTTTCTCAGAAAATACTTTTTTTCTACGTTGAATGTAAATTAATAAATTATTATGTGGTTAGACATTAAGTGAAACTTAATTTGTTTGAAAATTAAACTTTTATATGACATAAAGATACTTGTATTTACAAAGTTATTAATCTTTTGCTGTTTTTTTTTGTCACACACGTGTTAAACATGGGAATAAATCTTACTAATATTGAAGTGTTTCAGGCAAACCATATTAACTTGTTTTTGTAACAAGATAACAATACATGTTAGTTTCCAGGAAGTTTTTCAACTTAAGAAAATCCTTGATAAAGGGCAGGGGGTGTGATGTGGAAGTTCTGCAATTAATTTTTCCAACCAGAATGAGGCTGTAAATAATTTGATTTCAAATATGAAAGTGAAATAAGGAATTACTATTTTAGAATATGGAATAAATAGAACACAAAGGTTAATCACTTGGTCTTACATTTTGAGCATGTAGCCATAAAATATTAATATCAAATGAAAGTTAGCATTTTTCCTCATCCAATATATACCTCCACACACACAGATTAGCTATCTTATTCGTAGGTCTACCTAAACGATTTACATCCCAATAGCTTTGAGGTAACTCCCTCCTAAGTTCACGTTTCAATGTGAATTGCACTGATGCATGATAATTTCATTATGTGACAAAAGCCCTCCATCAATAGAAGGATGACACAACTACCATGTGCACTAACTCCCCTTTATTCTATGATGAGGTAAGACAAAAATGTGCACTGGAAGAGGGGAGAATGTGCTCAGTGGTGAGAATCTTTTAGAAATATACTTTCAGATTAGGAAAATATTAACTTCCAAGGCAATAATTCATCTCTTCACACAGTTTAACTAGAATCCCACACTAAAATGGTGGAGAGGCCATTGCAAAATTTTACCTAGATGAGCTCCCTTCAGAAAGCACATAAAGAGAAACTCATAGAGTGTGACACCGAATGGCAGGGACTCCACAGTGGCACACCTGTGGGAGACAACATCTCATCTCAACCAGGGTATACTCTTCACCTGGAATGTAAAGGGGGAAGAGGCAAATGAGCCCCATGTGTTGCAGGGGCAGCTAGCAAGTGCAAACCAAAAAAGTGGGCAAAACACTTCCCTGGTGCTAACTTTTTCCATGATAGTCCATGAAATATCTACAGTCTGGATCCAACAGTTGAGTAAATAGGTATACAATGAGAATACCTCAAGTGGTCTTGTGGAACACTTCACCTCACAATGGGTACTGATAGAACTAGGGCAGATAGAATAAGCACTTTCTGTTACCCTGGCTTGATGCAGATTTTGGGTACATATACCCTGGGAGGCAACACCAGTTATCCGATGGGATCCTATGAAATAAAACAAAATTTACTTACCCATCTAAAGATGATGAGTCAATTCAAGAATGGTGATTGGAGGAAGTCAATACAGCCAGGTGGTTAAGAAAAGAGTGACAAAGGTGTGGGTCATAGTCCACATACCTGCCTTAAGGATCTTGTTCAGTGGTTGGCAAAAATGAGCAGCAAGTGAATGAGTAAGGTGACAAATTTGATATGAAGAATTGTGGAATAGCCTTTAAGCATCCACATCCAAAAATGTATATACCAACCACAGAGGTTGAAGAACCCATCCAATAAGGGTAGAAGGAGAGGAGTCCCAGGGTATGAAGAGATGATGATGAGGACCCCAAAATTGAGAAAAACCAATTGTTTAGATATCTGATTAACGATGACTACAGGTCTTTCTACCTTCTTTATCCAGTTATTTGGCCATGGTTTTTGGTCTCCACCATTGCTGTTATTAGGTGGCATTATTCACAACATTTTGCCTCTCCTGGTACCACAGGTTGTTTTCTTCCCCTGTTCTTTCCAATTTATTCCAGTCTTTCCTCCTCCACCAACCCCCTTACCCTACTCCTGTGCCTGTCTGGACATCAATGTGGTTTTGCATGGTTTCAAGCATGACTCATTCAAGCTGTTGGCTTCTTTCTCTTAAGAATTATTTCCTCCTTCTTCTCCCTTCTGGCTAGCCTACTATAAACCATAAAGGAATAGCATATGGAACAATGATGATGGACAGGTTACTTAAATTTGATATACTGATAAAGTAGAAGGGCAACAGGAATAAGACAAGAGAAAGGCTACATGATCAGAGAGTCTAGCACAATGGGCAATGGACTGGATAAATACCATACATGAAGATAGATGTATGATAACCTTTGATGAAACTGTAACGTATGAGGTTGAAGCAAGAGAAAATGAATATTGGACAGAGAAAGAAAGGGTTTGGTTGCCAAGCAAAAGAAGCAGAGGAAACCAAAGTTGAGCTGGTCAAAGAAAACCATCAAGGTGAGAACCCTAGGTAAAGGCCAAAGAGGAGGATGTGCATATAGAAAAGGTGAAACCAGTCTTGGCTGAGAGCATTGACAACCAAAGTCAAAGGATGAGAGACCGGAAACCAAATGAGAGAAAGGTGGAGATGAGAAGGGTGGAAAAAGCATCTATGAAGGATGTGTCCAACTGAGAGCAAACCATATGATAAACCTATATGTCAATACAATTCTGTAGGAATAATGCAGTCCAGCCGAGAAAGGTGGTCCACATCAAGGTTCATAGCTCTGGCACTTAATAGGCAATCAGACAAAAGTGATGAGAATGGGTAAAAAAAAAGTAGGTCCAAAGTCTGAAAACAAAGGGTCCTGGGACAAGTGTCCCTTGATAGTTAATGTTTGATATGTCCATGAAATTGTCTGAATTGATCATGACCAAAATATCCACCAGAAAGGGTAGGTAATGGGAGCATGCCAGGTGGAAAGCAATTAGTATGAGAGCTGTTGATGTAAATACTCATTTGTGTCCAAAGGACAGAAGTCATGTTGTCATTCAGAGATGATCCTCAACCTGAGAGGGAAACATCAATGAACAGGTAAAAGTCTGGTGTGATGGGAGGCTAGGGAATTCTGGAGATGGTGTTGGAACAGTCCAGCCACCAAGATAGTTCCTTGAGTAGAGGAGGAGGCAGGGGTACATTCGAGGACAATGAATTCTGTGGAAGATTCCACTAATCTCACAACATCCATTGGAGGAGGCACATGTGTGTATGGCCTAAAGGAATGAGCAATTTCAGGGAAGCCGGAGTCCTGGAAGGAAAAATAACCTCTTGTGCAGGATGAGAAGTGTGAATCTTGGTGACCAGATACTCCATAGCTTGCAGGTGACATGTAAATGACTGAGCTCAGCTGAGGTTAGATTTGAAGAAAACTCCCAAGTGTACAAGATATTTGGTGGGTAGAAGAAAAGATTTTGATACCTTGACTAGTCACACCAAACAAGCAGCATCCTGAAGAAGAGAAGTGCAAAATAAGGATTCCTCATGGGAATGGGCTAAGAAAAGCCAGTCATCCATGTAAAGGTGGAATCTAAGACCCAAATTGGCAATGCATGAAGATGGTGAGAAAAGACTCTCACGAGACAGTTGAATACATAAAGGGCTAATACAATGCCAAAAGAAAGAGTTACAGAACTGGAATTCACAATTCTGATAGACAACGTGCAGAAAATTTCTGAAGGATGGTACAATCAGGATGTGAAGGAATGCAAGTCAAACATCAACTCTAGTCATCCACAGTACAGGTGAAAAGGACCAATAGAGAGAATTTTTCCATCCAAAAGTGTGAAACAACCAGAAAATAATTGAGAGAAGAGAGGATGATGACTGGATGTCAGCCCCTAGTCTTCTTGAGGATGACAAAGAAACAAGAGTAAAATCTTGGAGAAAGGTTGTATATACCCTCAATGGCATTTGTCCAAAAGATCCGAAACTGCCTCCTTGAAACATATATGACAGATAAGACTGGAGGGAGGAGAAAATGAAATCGGACAAGGAGAGAGAAGGTGGAGAAGTGGAGAGATAGTTTGTGGGTGAAAACATAGAGAACCCATCAATTCACAGAAAACTGGGACCAGAAGTCTGCAAACCACAACATATGGGACTCCACTGGTCCTAAACTGACAAGATAGTTACCACTGAATCATGTAGCAAACCTGATGGCATGACGAGGTAGGCCTGGAAGAAGGAATGGAAAGGTGAAGGGCAGAGAAACCTGGTCAAGGAATAGGAGTAGAAGGGTGAGTTTGTGAGAGGTAACAAATGAAAGAATACAGTGAGGACTGGTGTTGAGCTGCTTCAGCCCATGATTCTAAAAATCAAGAACACTACCAAAGATGTCTGGGCAAAGAAAAGGAGCATGATGAATATGCCAAAGAAAGGAAGTAGGTAGGTAAACTTGAGTGAGAAGGATCTTCTTATTTAACAAGTTCCGACAGCAGAGGAACCTAGTATGGATAGGACAGAATAAGTGGTATAAGCCACAGTAGTGAAAAAACAAAACAAAGATTCTTTGGAAATTCATCTGGAGCAGAATGAAGTGCCTTAAACATAAATTACACAAAGGAGAGTTAATGCAGAATGGTAGTAAGAAAAAAAGATGAAGACGAGAAAATTGAGCACTGGTGAGAGAAACAGACGACAAGAAGTCTGCTCCCCAAAAAGGTAAAAAAAGATTCCAAAGATTAGGAATCAAGAAAGGTAAAATTAGAATAGCTACAAGCCATGTGAATCAGATAAGCAAGGAGGGCAAGGCATATAAGCTTAGAGGTATGAAGTTGTTTTAGAAAGGATTCAGCATGAACACTAATGTCAGTTGAGAGAGGAAAAAAAATCCGAAGCATTAGAATTGTGAAGCATAAAACAAGAAGCATTATAAAATGGGTGAAAATGAAAGGATTGAACATAGTTGTGATATCAAGTCTTGATATAGAGTAGAAGGTTGAGGGCTTTCCTTGACCAGTAGTGAGGTATCTAAATCAAATCCTGGAAGAGGTAATAGGTGATCAAATTTTTCTTCCTCAGGATTGATCTCAGACTGATGAGAAGGGATACCAGAAGAATTGAAGGGAACAGAACACCTAGCATGCATAATGGACCCCACGACCCACTGTACAATGAATGTCACATTGTTCTCAGTTAATGATCCTTCTGAAGCCATAATTAAAGTAGATCCTGAGTGTGAAATTTCTTCACTCACACAAGAGTAAGTTTAAGTCACATTAACTTATGAATTTATAGCAACAAAATGAAGCAATGAGGAAGGATAAAGTCCAAAGTATAATGAAAACCAATGTTTTGTTAACCAGTGCAATTCTCACCATATAGAAGTTGAACAGGTTTTAAGCACATGTGTATCATTCATTGCCAAGAAAAAGAATGAAACTACTAGGAAGTTACTGGGCATGAAAGTTGTGTCACCCTCCTATTGGTGCAAAGCTTGTGTTGCATGAAGTTATCATCATGTACAAGCACAGTTCATGTTAAAACATGAAATTAGGTGGGAGTTGCCTTAAGGCTAGTGGCATGCAAGTCTTTCAAGCAGAAACAAGAGGAAGATAGATAATCTGTATGTAGCAGTGAGTTATCATCTCAGAAGTAAAGTACAGTAATGGAAATAAATATGGAAAAAACGTGTGGTATACAAACAAGAAATTTGCAACTAGATGATGACTTTATTCATTGAACAAAACATTATCATAGAAAATACAAAAGAAAAGTGAATAAGTTGAATAATTCACTAGTATTCCATATTTGAGCTCTCTGATTTACACAGAGCATTACACCTTCTTTCAATGTTACATACAGTTTAGCAATGTATGGCTGTGAAATTATTGTTCCAAATGCCTTGTATTATTCCCACAATTCAGCCAAGTTGTTTGGTCAATTTTTGACTTTCTCAATTTTTATACACGCTCATATGACCTCAAGAACATTCATATCAGGATTTATGTACTGTAGGTCAAGCCATGGTTGTATGTTCTAGTCATGTCACACCTGCTTGTAAGAGATCGTCTTAATAGAAAATGAATCTCTACCGATGTGCAATGTTCCTGAGAAAATGGCATGATGAATTAAATATATCAATTTTATGTAGTTCATTGATACTACTGTCTGATATGCAGCCCTAAACTTGAAATAATCTCCCACCGTACTTCACAGCAAATACTTTGCATCACCAGTTGATACCATTCTCTTCTTCAACATCAAACGGTCATTGACTGTTTGTAGGGAATTCAAACTTAGAAACAACAGTAGACATGTTTTTGTTTTGCTACCCATGACCCAATGCCTGTTTTAGTATTTGATTAACTCTTCTCAGCACCAGTTTTAAAGAAGTTAGATTGAAACCAATTTGTGTTAATGTGTATCTTACTGTTCTCATGGTAACATTCAAACACATATTTACACCAAAGCCACATCTGTAAAGAACACAGCCTGAGAAACTTAACATCACTTATAAAAACTTTTCATTTATTACCTCAACCACTTCTATTATAAACAGCTGTTTCACATACACTCTTCAGTTTTGAATATTTTTCCTACCAAAAAATGGAGTCTTGCAACAATCAGTCACATGCAGTATCCTTGATGAATTAAAACTTTGATTTCTACATGCTTGTCATGTGGTATTTCAGTCATAGGAGCCTCGATTGGGATCACACAACTAGTACTTAGCATGGTATGGCTGTGCTTTTATAGGATTTATACTTGTGTGGCACTTCTGATTGGTTGAATGACAAGCAATAACAGTGTAAATAAACTATCAAAACACATGAATGTGCTCTGGTGCAATTTATTTACACATGATAAAGTGGTAACACTTCCATAGTATTTGCCTTTGATACCCTCTTTTACGCACTATTTCCACAAATATTTCCAATACTATACATAGTATTTGACAAATAATATAACAATATGTGGAATAAAATACTGCTCAAGCAAGTTCACTTTCTTTGTTGTCAGTTGGTGCAAAAAAAAGGTTCACACACCTTACATAAAATATACTCGACACCTTGAGTACCATGGGAAGAACCTTACTGTAGATGAGCGATCTTAAGTATTGAACCAGATTCTCCAGCTCATTGAAAATAAATTGCCAAATACAGAGCAAAACCCTAAACATGGAGTATAAAAATCGTCTGTGATGTAGTTAAGCTTATGTAAGGATATTGTGAGAGCTGCCAGCTTTGTTGAGTTGCTCTTCACATTGTCAACATCTCACCAACAGTGACTGTACATGAAGGAAGCTGGAAAGTTTTCCTCTCCTTCAAAACTAAAAAAGAGAAACAGGCTGATAGCTGAAAGAAAAGTAAGCTGCTGTCTTTGTTCCAGAACCTTTTTCTTTAAGTTTAAATTGTGACAGAAAGTAGTTGCTATAAGTCAGCAATCCTTTTTTAGTGACATCTACAGCCAAGTGTCCTTCAACAAGTTGAGAATCTTGTGTCTTAACTTTAAACATTTTAGCATATGTACATGAAATGATTTTGAGTCTGATTCTGAGACATAAGCTGAAGAAGTAGAAAATGGAATAATTAAACTTGCAAAGAATGAAAGAATTATTAATGCAATTTTTTAGGAAAGTCAAAAGTCCTTGTAATATTGTTTTCAGTAGAAAGTATTTAAGTGGATAGAGAACACATTTTGTATAGACTACTCAAGTCACTAAAATATAAAGCTTGTCTTTTTATTTATTTGTAATCCTGTACACAAAGATATGAACCAATATTCTTTCTTGTTGGTGTTATGCTAATACTAAATTATCTGGAGACTGTACACCTATACAGAATAAAGATGGTACAATAAAACTATGCCATGTGACTCAAAAACTAATGAAAAGCATTCCAGTCCCTAAAATGTGCTTTGGTCAAGACACTGCCTTATCCTCTTTAAGATTGTCCATTAATCCTAAATATTGTCAACAATGATAGTGAGACTAGAACAATATTGTCAAAAATGCAGGCCACAATGCAACATTAATCATGCATGAGAACCATGTGTTACCAGCTCCTTAATGCAAATATTGTACAACAAAGAATGAATTGCTGGCATTTACTGCATTTGTCAAACACTATTGCTACTACTTGTACAATAGGAAATTACTACTTGTACAATAGGAAATTACTACTTGTACAATAGGAAATTCACTCTTTGGGTTGGACCATACTTCAGTGAAAGAGTTGTACAGTCTTCACTCAATTGATAAGGAAGAAAATACTTGCAGTACATATCCAAGTCTGTGGGGAGTCAGATGAAAAATCATCAGTAGAAGAATGGTTTGACTATTCTAATAACGTTTATGTAAAAAAAACTAAATAAATTAAACTCTGAATTTTTTTTTATGCATGGAAGAACTACAAATATATTTTCAATAATTTTTTAATTGAATGATGCAATTTTACCCTTAAGACAGTATGCACCCATATATGGGCATGACAGATGTAAAGGATGCATAATTAACTGACCACTACCATATCTTTGCCTGTCCTGGAAAAAGTCATAGTTGACATAGTGAACTTTGACTTTCACACCGGACCTAAAAATTAGCTACTGAAAATCATTTTTCCTCTAATTTTCTGTCTGTGGGTACACTGTGGTGAGAAGTTAATTAGTCTTGAAGACTATGAAAAGTTGGGTGAAAACTGAAAAACAAATATTTCTTTATTTGATAGAGACAATTGTTGATAAATAATATAAAATTAGCATATTTGACATACCCTTCTCTATTTAACACAACCCTAACTTTTTTACAATAGATTTGGTATGCTGAAATGTTGCACAGTTATAAATATAACAAAATACAACCATGCAATACATAAGCAAAATCTGGTAATGTGAGGAGTGGGTCCAATAATGTATTATATACTGATAATATTGACAAGGAATGACTCAAAACAATGAACCTTGAACACAATAGAGGTATGGGTCTGTTTAATAAACTAAATTTTTTATGTTCCTTTTCAAGTACATATTTATTGTATTACACTATAGCACATGCTCATTAGAAACTATATATCTTTTTTGTAGATTATTTTTCAAATCTGGGTAGCACTGGGCCTAATGATTTTGTTGCGAGTTCATCTGTGTTTTATTCCCGATTTGTTATTCCATTTGATTGGTATACAAGGTATATTTCATTCATTTTTTTATTAAGTTTATATAGTTTTGAAAATCACTATATTTACTGTGATTTTTATATGAATAATTTCTTAATAAACACCAACTTTCACATCTTATTATTCACCCATTCCATAAATTGTCATACATTTAAAAAATTCTGTATTAAACCCCCCTATCCTCAAATTAAGCACCAAAAGAAATATTAAATACTTAATATCTGCCTTACAAAGTTCAAGACATTAAGTTTATTTTCTTATGCTGTTCTTTAAACTAACAAATACAATATTTACAAAGATGTACCTTATGTTTCATTAGTAGGTGAAAAAAGCCAGATTTTAATCTCTTACAGGAAAAGAAAAGAAAGAGCATGCACCCCTGCATGGAATACTGTACCCAACCAAGAGCTGTACTCACTCTTTTGAAGCCTCTCAAGTAATTCTATGGCCCGCTTAACATCTGACAAGATAGAAGAAAAGACAATGAGTTCTACATGTCCTATAAACAAAATCAACTAACTATGAGCAAATAATTAACTCTCTCTCTCTCCAATCATTCATCTTTCCACCTATCTATGTATGTATGGCAAATACCAACAGACTACAAACTCTCCTGTTTAACACATTGCTAATCCATGCAAGACCAAATAAAACAGAATCACACAAAAGTAATTTGTCATCAATGAGATCATAATGTAACAACATTTACTCTCACTATTACAATAAAATCATACCAATATAACTTGTGCAGATGACAGTAATTTTCTGTAGTTGTCTTGATGTTACATGAAGTTTGGCTAAGCCTTTAAACTTATACTAATTTGAGCAGCTTTTCCTTAAATCATCTTATAATGTTTTAGAATTTAGATAGACTAATCTTGATATCTAAGTTTGCCAACCAGATATGTTATAACTCGTTATCAGGATGTTTTCTGAAAACTATGATATATAGTAACAAAGTTTTATTTTCCACTCTTTACTTTAATACTCTGCCGTGTCTACCATTTTCTCAGTGCTTAATGGACATAGTACATGTAAAAGTCCTGAAACAAATTATCTCTGTCACTGTCATCAGGATACACTCAGTAAGTTTGATTCTAGTTAGTTCTTTCAGCACGGGCTTGGTCATGGGACCGACTTCATAACCATTTTATACTTGATATAGTTTTCATGCTGTAACTTTTAAATTAATAAATGTATCTTCATGAAATTTTGCAGATTATCAGTAAACATTAAAAGGCTTTTGTATGCAAAATATCAGATTTTTTTAATAAACTTTTAAGATTCTTTAAGTAATGTTTTTCTCATGCCTTTTTTCTTTTCACATATTGACTATCAAACATGCAAGGTAATTTTGATATT